GTGTTTCCCCGAAAATAAGACAGGGTCTTATTTTTTTTTGACCCACGAAATATGGCCTTGGTCTTATTAGCGCGGGGTGTGTGTCTTATTATTTTGGGGATGCAGGAGGCGGCAAGCATGGGACTGCATGTCCTGTCGCCCACATCGCCTCCCCTCCCTGTTCTTTGCGCCAACTGAGCGGCTGGCCAGCACTGCTGACGTGTCCTGTCACTGCCCTGTGTCAGGTTGGGCTTTCTTTGCAAGGGGGACAATCTGGGGAGTGAGAGATTTAGGAAGCCTGGGCTGGCGTGGGGCAGTTTCTGCAATGAAGCATCTGATTCATCCCCAGGGGTGAGCGTTTTGCCTCCTCTCTGCCCTGGCTTGGAAGGTGCAGAGGAAGCCTGCCATGCCCGGCAAGGGGGGGGAGAAGAGACGGCAAGAGAAGCCACGTCTCGCTCCACGCCTCTCACTTCTCCCCCACCCCACCTACCACCCCTCTCGCTAAAGAGACGGTGGGGAAGGGAAGCAGCCTGGATTCTGTTAGCATTGGGGCAGGATGGGAGGAGTTGGGCTGCAAGACACGCATCCTACCCAAGCCTTGCAGCTCCGTCATGTTTCTCACTGTTTTGTCCGGGGAAGCACCCTGTAAAAAAAAATCTCGTGAGTTCAACTTCCCTGGACAAAACAGTGAGGAAAGCCCAACCCAACGCAAACGCCGCCTCCAGCCACCTCTTCATCCTGGTGAAACTACGTTTTGAAAGGATGATCTGCGGGGGGGATTTCCTGCACATTGGCAGCGGCGTCTCCTCACAGGGCTTCTCCCGATGTCCCAGGTGTGAAGCAATATCCCGTAAAGAAAGGCATGGAAATCCATACAACTGGGTATGTCGGAAGAAGCCTTGGGAGAAGACGCCGCTGCTGATGTGCAGGAAATCTCCCCACCCCCCCATCCACCTTCAGATAGTCTTGTGGGCTGGCCGGAGAGGTCTTCAATGAACTTCTCTCTGTCTGTGTCTCTGCAGGCGGCAGTGTCGGAAGCATCTCCTTGCAGGGCTCATTCTTCCTTCTCTCTGGCTGATTCTCAAATATTTTCTAGCAAAACACTGCCAAGAGAGGGAAGTATCTCTTCTGCCTCCCTTGCCGAACTTTGTGTGTAGGCGTAACGTTTCACAAAGCTCCTTAATCCACGGCTGCTGGCTCCTTCGCTTTGTGTTTTTTATACACATAACGACATACCCACCCTTCCTGGGAATGCTGTTTCCCACTCCCAAGATTCCGTTTCCAAGGAAAGAAGAGCGCTGGGGCCTCACTGGACATTCCCCCCTTCCCTGACTCCTGTCAGCCTCAACTTTGCTCCTGAAACCCTGCGGGACACTTCTCTGCTTAAGCTCAGCCGAAAGGGGGGGGGGGGGCTGAGAGCAAGGGCGAGATGAAGCTGATTGCTTCCCCTTTGCCTCCTCTCCCAAAAGCAGTCTCAGGTGCAGCCACTTTTGCAGCAGGAGACTCAAGCCAGCCTTCTGAAGGGTACTATAACAGCAGCTATCCACAAACTTTTTACCCTTATTTTGTCCCGATCCACGTGGCTCACTGGGCCACATGGGTCGGGACAAAATAATGATTAAAAAATTGTGGATAACTGCTGCTACAGTACCCTTTGGAAGGCCAGTGCTAGGCGTGTGGGGTGCATCACTTGGCCTCCTGCTGCTTTTGTAGCCGTAATCGATGGCAAAAGCAGCTGCACTTGTTGGAGGCCATGGCCTGAGCAGCACCCGCAAATCAGCTGTTTTTTGAATGGCAGCCGGATCGGCTCAACTGATCCGATTAAGCAGCTGAGAAGCGCTGAGGTGACCAGGGAAGGGAAGGGCTTCCTCCTGTACTTGCCACGGCACCCTTTCACTAGGGCTTATTTTCAGGGGAGGGCATATATTTACACCCACCTCAAAAACCAGGCAAAAACCAGGTCTGGGGTTATTAGCAGGACATGTCATATTTTCGGGGAAACATGGTAATATGTTCTTTCATGTCTCCCAAAGGC